CGGTTGGGGCGCAGTCCATCGGCGAGCCCGGCACCCAGATGACCCTCAAGACGTTCCATTTCGCGGGGGTGGCGTCCATGAACGTCACGCTGGTGGGCGGCACCAAGGAACCCCACAGCACCACGCACACAGGCTCGCGCGCACACCGTGCTCGCGCATGCCGGCGGCTTGCCCTCCAACGCCCGCACGCAGCGGCTGCCCACCCAACGCCGCAGGGACTTGACATGATCGGCAGGCTGCGTCGTGACCGTCCTGTTTGCCGGCGCCCTTAGCTGTGCTGGCTGCTCCGCAGCCGCGACCGTCCTCACCCGCCACGCCACACGCACCTAATCACCTGCGCACCCTCCCCAACCTCCACCGCCCGCAACACGAGCCCCCTCCGTCCTGCCTCCTGCCTCCCCCCCAAAACACACATAAATAAACGCAGGGTGTCCCCCGCATCAAGGAGATCATCAACGGGTCCAAGAACATATCCACGCCCATCATCAGGGTCAAACTGGTTAACGACGTCGACGAGGCGGCGGCGCGGCTGGTGCAGGGCCGGCTGGAGCGCACCACGCTGGGGCAGGTGATGAGGGGGCCGGCGCGATGCAAGCGTGTGTTTGTGTGCGTGTGTGTGTGTGTGTGTGAGTGTGTGTGTGTGCGTGTGCGCGTGTGTGTGTGTGTGTGCGTGCGTGTGTGTGTGTGTGTGTCTGTATCGCGTGTGTATACTCATGATTGAGCTTGAACCCGAAACTGTAGCTGCGTTTCCAGGTGGTCGTTGAGTGCATGCATGCGTACCTGCGTGCGTGTGTGAGTGCGTAAGCATGCCGCCTGTGACGTAATGCCACAAAGAGGCATGTTGCCGGAGGTGGTGACGCCCGCGGCGCGTCTCCTAGGGTTGCTGCCAATCTATAATGGCACGTCCTTGCCCACCAGGTCTCACACACCACAATCTAACGCCGCACTTCCCCCCTCTCCCTCCCCCCCCCCCTTCCTCGGGCCGCCAGGTGGCGCGCCGCATCGCGATCCTGCTCAACCCTCCGCGCGGGAACGGCCCCAAGGCGGCGCCGTCCAACGTGGGCGACGCGTGTGTGGAGGTGGTGCTGGACATGGCAGTGCTGCAGGTGCGGGCCACGCACACCCCCCCCCCTCACTCTCGTGGTTGCTGCCGCCAGGGTGGCCTTGGTGGCCTCCCCTGCCCTTGCGTGTTGACCCCTGGGGCGGCGCCGCCGTCTGGCTATCACCCGGCATCACAAAACCGTGAATCAATGCCCCTGGCTTGAACCGCCCGAAGTCTGGTTTGGGGCTGGGGAATGAGCCGTTGAATTTCAAACTTGAGCTTCGGCTTGCATGGGGTAGGGTGAGGGTGGGCTTGCGTGGGGGCCGCGGGCGCTGGCGGGACCCCGGCTCTGGAGATGGGCGCAAGCACAAGGGTGTAACGGCACAGGTCGCGTCCTGATGTAACCAGCCCCACGGGCTGGTCAGCCGCTCGAGGCACTCCACACACCCCTCGACTCTCGACCAACCCCCGCGCGCTTTCACCCCCATCCTCGGGTCGCAAACTGCCCCCGACCCCACCTCCACCGCCGCCGCACGTGCGCAGAAGCTGCACCTCCCGGTGGACGCGTTCACGGTGGCCCACAGCATCGCCAACACGCCGCGCATCAAGGTGCCGCGTGACGTCACCGCCGCCCGCGCCCCGCGCCCGGGGAGGGGCCGCCGGCGCGGCCCAGCTTGGCTGTATGACTGTGGCTGTGCGCACTTGCGACACTCGCTGTGCCATCCCCCCTCCCATACACACATACACTCTCTCTTTCACTCACACACAGACACACTCTCTCTCTCTCTCTCTCGCTCAAACACTAACACACACACACACACACACACACACACAAACACACACACACACATACACGCACACACACAAACACACACACACACAAACACACACACCCACACGCACACACACACACGCACACACACACACCAGGTCAAGCCCGAGCACATCGTCAGGACGCGCCCCGACCGCCTCTGGGTCCGCACCGCCCCCGACTTTGAGGCCACGGGCGTGGGCCTGCTCTTCGAGCTGGAGCGCCTGCTGCGCGTGCTGCCCGGCGTGATTGTGGCGGGCATCCCCACGGTGGCGCGCGCGATCGTGGTGCGGGAGAAGGAGCGGAACCAGGTCCTCATTGAGGGGACGAACCTGCAGGTGAGGGGGGGGGGCAGGGGTGTGTGAGGAGGGGGATGGT